TATATATATATATATATATATATATATATATATATAGTGTTTACATATATATTACAATATATATATATATATATATATATTAAAATACACACACAAACACACACACACACACACATAAATATATATATATATATATATATATATATATATATAAAAAACACACACAAACACACACACACACACACATAAATATATATATATATATATATATATATATATGATCTTTTCAATGTATTTATAGTATGCATATCATTTGTATTTCAACGCTTCCTTCTTCTATTCCGGTTTCAAACCTTGTCTAGAAAAGTCAGTCCAATTTGCTATTTCTCACATAGTTGGGCAAGAAGAGGATATAATTTTATATATACAATTAAGGGTTGGTCATAATGAATGCCCTTTTGAAATAAATTTTGAAATTATTCAGCATAAATCCCATGGATTTTAAAAGTAGAAAGGGCCTCAAATTTTAGTAGAAAATTTGTGGATTTTCACCTACTCTTTTCCTGGCCATAATCTTGTAAAGGATTGTCGCTTTTGAAGTATAAACGCAAAATACGGTCATAGAATTTCTGTTTTTTTGCGAAGGACAAAATACTATAAACGTTCACAAGAGCTAAGTGCTAATGGAAATATTTTTCTAAGCAAATTAATTTGAGGGTTCAGTAGAGTTAATCCCAGTCCTAGAGAGGAATGTATTAATAGTAACAAGCCTCACAGATGCAGGCTAGCTGCTCTTGTGAAGAAGATCCAACAGGTCGGTGCCATAATTAAAGCTGATAAAATAATCACTATTGTAAAACTGAAGCAGTCTTGTGTTGAGAGATACTAGAGTTTTTAGTATAGTACTCTCTGTTGGTCACTCATAGATTTGGACAAAAATATTTCTTCTTAAGTTGCGTACAGACTTAAAGAAAACAGGGGATTGGTGTTGCCCAAGAGTTTCTAGAGCTGCACAACCTAAATATCCCTTATCGAAGCGAGACAAGAGAAGAGAGATGTTTTATTATTTATTATAGGCCAGAGTGCATATGAACGTCAGGGGCATGGTGCAACTCAGACTCCAATAGAAATAAGTGCTTCTTTTTTTATATCGAATGATTCTCGAAAACTTTTAAAAAGAAGTATCGGAAATGTTCTGTGGATTCCTTTTGCCAATTCTATAACAATTATCGTGGTATTTGTTCGGATTCTTATATAAAAAAATGGGAGATTTAAAAAAAGAAGCATGTCAGGTTTCGCAGATACAGCGCTGGTCAGGCTGATGAGAAGGTTATCTGCAGAATTTGAAGCCTGGTGTCAAGTCTTTTGAACTTTTATCTATCTATCTATCTATCTATCTATCTATCTATCTATCTATCTATCTATCTAATCTATCTAATATTTGTATTTGTATCTATCTATCTATCTATCTATCTATCTATCTATCTATCTATCTATCTATCTATCTATCTATCTAATGGTGTATTTGTATCTATCTATCTATCTATCTATCTATCTATCTATCTATCTAATGGTGTATTTGTATCTATCTATCTATCTATCTATCTATCTATCTATCTATCTATCTATCTATCTATCTGTTGTGGATTCCGGGATGAAATCCAGTACCAATAAATAACAAACGCCAAGAATGAATATAGGAAAATAATATATTAACGTAAAAATACAAACTGGTAATGCAGGTTAGTAGTTCCAGGAATACGGGTTAGTAGCAAAATATCTATACAGTCTTTGGTATTGAAGTATCGCTATATGACTTCTTACTCAGTCTCCGTGCTCGCTCACTGTGACTCCTACAACGCTGTTACCTCACCCCTCACTCTTCCGGTTACCTACAACCTTTTATTCTGTCACTCTGGACTAGACTCAGCGGTCTTGCTCTGTCGGGTCTTCACGTAGCCGTAGTATATCCATATACTGGGTGAGTTCATTTGTATAAAGAGGGGTGGACCCATCAACAGGCAAGGAAACCGACAGCTAGACTCGGAGGTCTGGCTCTGTCGGGTCTTCAAGTAGACGTAGTATATGTATATACTGGGTGAATCCATTTGTGTAAAAAGGGGAGAACCCCTCAACAATATCTATTGGTGTATTTTTATCTATCTATCTATCTATCTATCTATCTATCTATCTATCTATCTATCTGTGTGTGTGTGTGTGTGTGTGTATCTATCTATGGGTTTCTATCTATCTATCTATCTATCTATCTATCTATCTATCTGTGTATTTGTATCTATGTATGTATGTATCTGTCTATATTTCTCAGGAGAGGTATTATGTACACTATTTACATTATTCGGACTATTTTCCTCATAACGTTTCGGCCGTAAACAACTAAAAGATTTAGTTCGAAATTCCAATCACCTGAAGAAACTTTGTGATAAATATGGCAACAAAGATGAGGACAATAGTTCTAATCATGTCAATAGTGTATGTATGTATGTATGTATGTATGTATCGATCTATCCAAATAAGATGGCAATGCCGCTAAGACGCAATAAATTTTTGGGACTGAAAGAGTTTTAGAAGACTTTATGAGACGGAAACGGAAGCCCAGTCCTAAACAGGTAACAAGGGATAAACCTTTACTCCAGTTCAAAAGATGTAGACATGAGAACCGGGCGATAGTCATGTCTTCTATCTACCCACCTTATATATATATATATTTCATGCCTTCTATCTATTCCTGTTATATATATTTCAGAAAGGAAATATCATTACTTAGTGCTTCAAATCGAGAATGTCGCCATATTTCTTGCGAGAGCGAAATGGTTACCGTAATCTCTTCTTCATTTGTTTTTTTCCATAGAAGAGAGCAGAAGCTGGGAAATCGGAAGTTGTTCGTGATAAATTAAATTCCACAGGAGTCGCACTGTTTTCATAGCTTTATGAGAACAGTTGTAAGTTACAGATGACACACAAGCCGGTGTCTGATCAGTATCGGCAGGGTAACCGTGGAGACGGGAGTATGATGTTGAAAGGCCCGAACCACCCCACAATGATTGTATTGAAATCTATTTTGAACAATAAGAATGTATAATTGCTCTCCAAGCTTAGCAGAAGAATCCTGATATAATCGATAATAAACGAAAAAAACATGTTTATCAATAATTATTCATAACTAAGGATCGGAAGCTTATAAAGGATTGAAAAAAAATTCAAAATATATATATATATATATATATATATATATATATTATTTCAAGATCCATTTCCCACTTATTCAAGATGATCTTCGCTCCATCTACCCTTCTAACTTTCTGTTCTAAAGTAACAAGTAGCCTCAAAGGTTTCACATACGATTTTATTTTCAATTCTTTTTTACTGCTCTTTGGACTGTCATAGCTGAAACTCGTCTCTCAAGTGCCAAACGTTTTATTGATTGAGTTGGAGCTTTTCTAATTGATTTCTTTAGCTCTAAGTTGAAATGATGATCCCTCTGCAAGTTGTGATCCCCTGATCCATTTTTCCCCTTTACTGTTCCGTCTTTTTTAAAGTTAGTCACTGTTCTCTTGTTGGTTCTTGAATAGACTTTGAAGATGCGAACCAGAGTATGAATATTGGTTTTTCCTCTCACCATTGCTCAGTTGAGACGACAGTACGGCTGACATTAAACAATTTAAACCAGTTCTCTTTCTAGCTGAATAACTCAAAGGGTTTTTCAGTGATTCTTACAACAAACGCTATGAAAATGGCTAAACGTCTTATCTGAAAACCTGGAAAAAACAAATTCAGTTAGTTTAGTTGTTTTTAAATATTAAACATTTTGTGGGATGAACAATTACGCTGTTACACGATTTGGACAATTTTGTTGTTACACCCGGCATATAGTAAAGAATGAGATGAGACGGCAGTGGCGGGTGCTTGACTATATAAATACTGTTATCACCCTTGCCGTCTGGCTCTGGACGTATGTAAGTGCAAGCAGACATAAATGCATGCATATTCATATCGATTTACAAAGATTTTGAATTGATTCTTTGTTGTGAAAAATAAGCAACACGTCTTGTGTGAAGAGGTCTTAATTTGTTTGTTTTTTTCTTGCCAACTTTTCCGCTTAATTTTCAAGTCATTTGCTTTTTTTATTTTTTTGAAAAAAAAAAAACCCAAAAAACAAAACAAAAAAATTCGCGAGCCCACCTGCTGTTCATTTTCTCCTCCAGCCCCGAAGTTCGCCCCCCTCCCAACGTTTTGCAATTCTCTCATCTCCTTCAATATTTAATCACTTTTCTGGCGTTGCAACTAACGCATCTACGACTAATACAACTACTGCTGTGATCATCATCGTCATCATCCTAATCATCATTATTATCATCATCATCATCAAGAGCAGGAATGAATACAACGCAAATTTAATGCTCATGTTCTCCCCGCCATGTTCGTTCGCAACTCTAACGCAACAGCATTGTCGTCTGCTTAAATCTCTTCATTTTATTATTCTTTTTTTTTTCGTTGTATTTCTTCTCGATCTTTTTTTCTTTCTATCCTTTGCCTTTTTTGTCACCTTTGTCTCTGTTTTTTAATGTTTGGCATTCATCTTCTTATCTCTAATACATTCTATTACTACGTTCCTTTCTTCGATTATTTTTCGTCTCCCTCCCCTCTTGTTCATTCCGTTTTTATTTTCACATTTCTCATTCTCTTACACATTTTCTTTTCACACTTCTAATATTTGCTATTCTACTTTCGTCAATAATTCCTGATTCTTAATTCCTCTCCACATATATGCTGTTGCTTGTTCCTGGCCAGCAGCACATCAATCTCCATTTAATGCCGAAGTTTAGATATATTTGTACGAAATTTTATTTTTATTTATTGATGAATATAATGGTTTAGTGAGACAAGTTTTACTGACTAATCCATAGCTGGGGGAGAGAAAATGTGCATTTATATGATTCCCAAGAGTATTTGCGCGTAACGAGCCAAAGTGAAATTGGAAATCGGCTCTCTGATTAACAATTCCCAACATTATCCATAACACTAAGCGTAGATGCAAGATAACCACACCTGATATTCCCAAGCGGTCAACCATTCAGGTAATGACCAGGCTGGACGTTGCTTCACTTCAGTGATCAGACGAGAACCAGTGTTTCAACGTGATGTGGACGTAAGACCTTTCCTCATATGTTCGTTTTCACACAAAGACACTCATGCACACTCGTGTGAGCAGGTGCATAAATACACACACAAATGCAATTATATGCACGCTCATACACACACACACGTACATAGCAAAACTGTTAAAAAAAGCAGCGCGAAAATATACATACATATATGAACATACATATATATGTGCACACACTCATAGACATACACGTATATATTATTATTATTATAATTATTATTATTATTATTATTATTCCATATGCCTTGTCCCTCTAGTTTGCATAGATCTCCACAACTTCCTCTCTTTGGTAGCTCTGATGAAATTTGATGCTATCTCTCTTTGTCATTGTTCTGCAAACAATTTACATAAGTTCGTGGATTAAGTTTTTTCGCTACTTTCCCCGATCGCTCTTGCCTTCAATATGTCTTGTGTGTGTCAAATTCAACAAGCCGTCTTTCCTCAGCATAAGCCGTAGAAGTCAATTGTCTCTTTCTGATTACGAAAATATGTATGTATTAACGTATATATATATATATATATATATATATATATATATATATATATATATATATATATATATATATATATATATATATGTTTGTACCTGTATAAACATAGACACACACGCACACACTCTCTCTCTCTCTCTCTCTCACACACACACACACATATATATATATATCATAAATAAGCAGTTTATACAAAGAATTAATTAGAAATGTTAATGTGATTAATGGCGAAATCACTTCGCTAACAGAACTTATTCAGACATTAACTTACTATCACTTTACTAATAAGATCCTTATATTCGAGTTGTTGTCAGATAGAAGTCATATACCAAATACTTTCGACAGTTTCAAATTGTCATCTTCAGGGAGCAATTTTCCCATACATAGGCAAACTCTATGACGAAATATGTGTAGATCAAAAGTTGTTGTTTTTTTTTAAAATTATGCTATTTATTGACAGTTGAATGTCTGTTCAGGAGCGTGCGATGCCACGACACTAGTGTTCTTGTTCAAATCGATCAAGTGATAATTTTGTTTGATTTTTGAATAGTTCTAAATCCAGGAAATTTTCTTGTCATAGGTATTTATCTGTTAAAGTGAAATAGAGTTAATATAATCCGTTTAGTAGAGTAAATGTTTATTCAAGGAATTAATAGTAAGTTAATGTCTCATTAAGTTCCGCTAGCGAAGTTATTTCGCCATTAATCATTATGTATTATATCTTTATAGATAAAAGTGCTCAATATCAGCGATAGAGCGTATGTAAATAAAAATAAAACTGGATAAATCAAATCAGATGTAACTATAGTCTTTTATTTACGAGCCCTTAGAATCTGTAGTTCCCAATTCGTGTCCGAGAAAGAGAAATACATTGAAAAACACATTTAAACTCGTGCAATAACTGGATACTTTCCTGCGCAATGTCAAACTCCAAGCCAACAAAATAAAAAACAAAAAAAAACAAAAAAAAACAAAAAAAAACAAAAAAAAACAAAAAAAAACAGAAGGATAGAAACGTTTCACAAATAATAATAATAATAATAATAATAATAATAATAATGATAATTCCTAGAACTATAACAGAAGTAGGCACATAACTACCAACTCCATAGCAGACACAAAAGGAAATAACTTAACCAACCGTAACAAAATTCGTTAACACAACTTCTAAAATAATAAGAGATATAGCAACCAACAGAAATATCAAGAATAACAGTACAGAGGCAAGAATATACAAAACAGATTTTACAGAATGCCCATCGGTGTAAATCGGCGAAACATCCAGAATCCAGTATCCTAAATAAGAATCGCAGAGATATGGTGCATAACAACACTTTAAGAGCACTGAAAGTTTACCATAATATATTTGACCAGAATTTCGGTTTAATAAATGCTAGTCGGATTAGGAGAGAAAAGGTTTCACTGTGTGTGTGTGTGTGTGTGTGTGTGTGTGAACTTTATTTCAATGCTTTACAAGCTTCAGAGCCTTAGTTATGGTTAAGTAATGGTCTTCATTTTTGATCGATTTCATCGCGATTTTTCTGTTAAGCTTAGAGAGCAGAGAGTTGTTACTGACCAAAATAGATTCCAGTATTATAAAATCTTAGAAGAATTCCAGTAAGATATCTTTAATCATTTCTAAGATACAACCGTTCAGAGCTTAATCTAACAACTGGACAATTTTGCTGTTACACCCGGTAAATATATTGTGACAGTGTACTGCACACATGTCATTGGTCTTTCCAGATACAATCATTCCTACGGAAAAATGCATATGTATAATTTTACATGAAAAAAAAAAAAAACGTATTTCAAATTTCAAGTATCGATGGATTGTTTTTGAGACAAAATAACAGTGCATATAATTTAAGCGATATGGCTTTAAAAAATTTGAAAATTCTGCATATTGATTTTAGACCAAAAACATATCTCCCACCTAGTTTGCTGCAGACAGAACAAGTTCTTTAGAAGAATGTATCATTTTTTTTATTTTTTAGATCAACATGAAAAATTTTCTTCAACATTAAATTTTCAGTAAGTAATATGGATATTCACAAGCGGGATATATTCAAATTTATTAACTGTCATATACATATATATATATATATATATATATATATATATATATGTATGTATCGTGAGATATTAGATGGCGTATTACGCGAAGAGATGCGTACGCAATTTATTAAATGAAAGGGAAATTAGATAGGATAAATACAGTGAAAAATAGTGTCTGAAATAAATGTATTGTAAGTTTCATAAATAGTGAAAGAAAAAAAACCCAAAAATATCTCTGAAACTTATCCTAGAAAAGTGGTTTAGTAGTGGTTATACAACAATGATGATCATCACCATCCTTCGAACTCCTTATAGTTGGTCGGAACTCCATTGACAGTCTCTTTCTCTTTCCACACTATTTTGGTCCTGTATTTCTGTCCACAGATACACAGTGTCTAACCCTGGAAAATTTTCGTGCGAAGAAACTTCCAGAAGGATACCATAGGAGTCAGTATGAGGCGATTTTCCTGTCCGCTCTCCGTTGTCTGTAAATTGTTTTAAGCGTTGCATAGGATCTCCAACTGATGATCTGGATTTTTTTTAAGTAAATTTGTATATGTTCCATCCAGTCGCCTTTCAAGACGACTAGTTACTGATCCATACAGTAATATTGGTTCAATCAATGTTCGAATGGTTTGGACTTTTAAGTAGGATAGAAGGTTCGAGCGCCAAATCCTGTGAAGTTGGTTCCCCTCATCTCATGCAAGAGCGTTGCGGATGTTAAATCTGTTTGGGAACCTATTATGGGAAGCCCAATATATTTGAAGTCCTCAACTCCTTTGATTGATGTATTATTGAGTGACTCAAATGGTTCAGGAGAGGTTGTGATATATTCTGTCCTGCTCAATGATAGTGATAAGGGTAATTGTAATATTAGCCGTTTCCTTATAAGGAATCATTAGAGAAAAAGTGATATCCATCTTAGTTGTTACTGATGTTGAAAGACATCATGTTATATCTTTTCTGTTATTTGTTAAAGTTTTTATGGTCATTCAGTAAAAACAAGATGGTTACCGCTGATACCTATAAGTTTCATTCTGTCAAACTCATTTAAGCACGGATCTGAAGAAACGGTTGTATACAGCTGACAATTAAGATATTTCTTAACAAGGTTGGGGCTCTGCATGACAACCATGTGAAAGTTTCGATTTGATGAGGTTCCTTAAGTACAAGATTTGAGTTTTGAGGTTAATATTTGAGATGTCATGGAAAGACTACCCCTAACAACGATTCCACTGAAAAGATAAAAAAGAAAGAAAAAGAAAAAACAACAAAAATGAAACTAAAAACAAACAAACAAAAAACAATTATACAAACTACTGCGTGTGTTTTTTCTTGACGATGAGCAGCCATTTTCAGTAGAGGATGAAGAACTGGAAGATGCCCAGGAATGTGTCTATTTCTCAATGGCGATAGATTTAAAGAAATATAGGGGAAAGAAAAAGAGAAAAACGTGTGTTTGGAAAAATATAGTAAAAGTAGAGACATAATAAAAAGTACCCTTAACATCTAATGTGTATAATTAACGTATAATCGAAGGTGCTTGGGAAAATGGGAATTAACTAAATCGTTTGAAAACAAACTAAGAAATGCGCAATAAAGTTACCAAGAATATGTATATGCCAGTCACCATGGACCCGATAAAACCACATATTAAGACCTATCATGTAAGTGGGAAAAGACCTTCAATATTTTTTTTTAAATGGAAAATGAAGCGGCTTGTAAATTATAATACCAGGAGAGCAATTCATTGCACTTTCTAGGTCCTACGTTTTCCACTGACATGAGGAGGAGCGATAATATTAAATCAATTGGTCAGCTACCAGGAAAATTAATTCACTGTGTCGTGGAAGACATTATTTCTCACCAGAAAGCAACTAGCGTGTTTATAAATTTACCATTCACCCTGGCATCAAATATTGCTGCCACATCTGGACTGGTGTTCTTGTTATACTGGGTGAGATCCCAAAATTGTCCAAATCGTGTTACAGAATAAATGTCCATACCATAAAATGTATATTATCTAAAAAAAAAAAAGAGAAAAAAAAATCTCTGAACTAATTGAGTTTTTTTTCAGGTTTTCAGATAAAACGATTAGCCCTTTGAGTCACTCAGCTAGAAAGAGAACAGGTTAAAATTGTTTCGTGTCAGACCCACTGTCTTCCCAAATGAGAAATAGTGAGAGGAAAAAGATCATTCAGCCCTTCAGTAATTGTATCAACATTCATACATTGGCTTCCATCTTCAAAGTTCATTCAAGAACCATCAAGAGAATGGTGAATAAGTTTTAAAAGTGGGAAGAGTAGAGAGGAAAACTGGATCAGGCGTCGCAACAACAAAAAGGGATAATCATTTCAGCCTGGATCTAAAGAGATAAAAAAAATCCAACTCAATCCATAAGACGCTTGATACGTGAGAGAGGAGTTTCAGCCATGA